CATGCTGCTAGGTAAGAGTTTCATCGTTGGTATGTATAGTCTTGGCACTGGTGCCACTGCTAGAAAAATGAAGGACTGCAGGAGTTTAATTAATTCCTTTAGCGTCTCTCACTGGTATAATTCAACTGTTACCTGTAGTTACAATCAGCACCAAATGGGACTGTGTTTGCGGTCTCTGAACTCCCTGTTTATTTTTTTCCTATTTGTTCATGGGATGAGGGCATCACTGGCTGGACTGGCATTTATTGCCCACCCCCCATTGCCCAAAGTTAAGAGTCAACCACAGTGCTGTGGGTCTGATTTCCTTTCCCAAAGGACATTAGTGAACCAGATGGGTTTTTCCGACAATTGACAATGGATTCACGTTCATCGTTAGACTTTTAATTCCAAATTTTTATTGAATCCAAATTCCACCATCTGTCTTAGTGGGATTTGAACCTGGGTCCTCAGAACATTTCCTGGGTCTCTGGATTAATGGTCATGTGATAATACAACTCTGTCATCGTTCCCCATTTAACTGCACTCTGCATCCTGCATCATCGATGCTTAGCTATTGAAGCTGCTCAGGGCCAAAATTGAGATGTTTAATCTCTTGGGGATTCACTAGATTTGGGCATCAGGCAGGAAAGTGCAATTCAGACCAAAGGGCCTGCATGGCCTTTTCGTCTTCAATTTATATTCATGTGTGCTAGTGACTTGGCATAGTATGTCATTCACTGTTGTGGAGGAGGAGGAGGCAGCTGGATATCTGGTGAGTCATCAGAGTCCATAGCAGCCTGTGCTTCAAACTTGCCTGAATTCAGTCAAGCCCAAGTTCTCTTATCCCCACATTTCCCCTTCTCCCTCTCCTCCCTGGTCACTTGATCACTGTTCTGCCATTGCCCTGTTACTGGTTATATTTGTGCTCCTTGGCTGTGTGATCAGAGAGGAGAGAAATTTGGGCCTTTGATTGTTATTGCTTCTCCCTCAGGGAACCACCATCTGTTGCCATCTTGTCCTGGTGTCCCTCCCAGTAAGCCAAGGACCCGGTCTGGAGACACCACCCTGATGGAGTACAATGGCAACATGGTCAATGTTGGGAACTTGATTCAGAAGCTGGAGCGAGATGAGAGGAACCGTGCAGAGATGGAAAACAAACTGCAATCAGTGGAGTCCCAGCTGGGTGAGCACATGAAGGAATCTGGGTGACAGGGGTGTGATAGCTTGCCCCAGCTGCTGATAGGGACAAAAGCTGAGAGAGCTGCAGGAGAGATGTCAGAGATCAGCTCCAGGGAAGTTAGAGAACCTTGAGTTGTTTCCAGAGAATTATAGAAGAAGCTACAGAAGGGCTTAAGCAGGCTGGGAGAGTGGTCAAAGAAGTGACAGAATACAGTGTGGGAAAGTGTGAGGTTATGCACTCTAGTAGGAAGATTAGAGGCATAGACTATTTTCTAAATGGGGAAAGGCTTCGGGAAATCTGAAGCACAGAGGGACTTTGGAGTCCCAGTTCACAATTCTGTTCACGTTAATATACGGGTTCACTTGGCAGTTCAGAAGGCACATGCAATGTTAGCAATCATTTCAAGAGGGCTAGAATACAGGAGCAAGGATGTACTGCTGAGGCTGTATAAGGCTCTGGTCAGACTGCATTTGGAATATTGTGAGCGGTTTTGGCCTCCGTATTGCAGGAAAGATGTGCTGGTGTTGAAGGGGATTTGCAAGAATGATCCTGGGGAGTGAAGGGCTTGTCATATGAGGAATGGTTGAGGACTCTGGGTCTGTACTTGGAATTTAGAAGGATGAGGAGGGATTTCATTGAAACCTGCAGAATATTGAGGGACCTGGATAGAGTGACAGAGAAAATGTTTCCACCAGTAGGATAGACTAGGACCTGAGGGCACAGCCTCAGAGTCACGGGACTGCCCTTTAGGACTGAGATGAGCAGGAATTTCTTCAGCCAGAAAGTGGTGAATCTGTGGAATTCATGCTATAGAGGGCTGTGGAGACCAAGTCATTGAGTGTATTTAAGACAGAAAGGTTCTTGTTCAGTAAACAGATCAAGGGTTACAGGGAGAAGGCAGGAGAATGAGAGTTGAGAAAAGTTTCAGCTATTATCGAGTGGCAGAGCAGACTTGATGGGCTTAACTTTGCTCCTGTTATCTAATGGTCTTATCGATGCGGTTTCTTTAATTAAAAACAAAAGTATTGACTTATCAAGTAAGATCTATGCAGCATAGATACAGAATTGGTTAACACAGAACTTGTAATAGAAAAATATAAATGTGTAGTGATCATCTTGTGCACTCTCACTCTCATGCACCATCCAGTAAAAGCAAGAAAACTGAATTCTCTCCAGCGATTACTTCATGAAGAAATAAACTGTTCGGCCAAGTTCGTGAACACAAAAACGTTCAGGTGTAGAATGTTCCAGAGTGTCACATTCTGATTTTCTGGCATGCATGCTCAAGTCACAAGTCATTCCCCATTGTCTCTGGTGTCTTTACAGGCACAGCTTGCTCAGGAACTATGATGTTCAGAAGTCCAATCACACTCTCTCTCTCCGAAGAATCAGTTACATTTCACCCTGATCTCTCAGCAGAATGTTCTTGTCAGAAACAGAAGGGGCTAGTTAGGTAGCTTTCCATACAGATTCCTGTCCCCAGCTAATTCCAAACAGAAAGAACTCTTCAAGCCATAGACTGTCGCAAACAGTAAGCTATAAAATGCAGGCAGGTCACATCTGAGTTTTCTGAAGTCATCTGATTCCCCAGAAACCTGTTCATTTGTTTTAAAACATTTCAGTGTCACAAAGGCTTTTAAGTGTTTTATTCAAACCTAGTCCAGATATCCACATATGAAATGGAATGGATCCAGATTTCCAAATCCTTCAAAATTCAAGTCTTCCAAGAAATATTAAATGTGGAGCTGCTTTAGAAGTTAAACCAAAGGACCAGAAGAGTGATAAGAAATGTCTTTAATGCAGAAATTTATTTTTTGGGATGAACTACCTCAAGGGGGCGTGGAAGCAGATTCAATAATAACTTGCAAGTTGGAGTTAGATAAATAGTTGAAAAGAAGATGGGCACTTGGAAGGGTTTGGAACAAGAAAAGGAGATTGGGCTGATTGTGTTGATTCTTTTCCAGGACTAGCACAGGGGTGACTCTGAGCCAAATGGTCCTCTCTTCTACAATGAGATTCTATAACGCGGTTCAGAATGGAGATGCCAGATGGGGTTCAGTTTTGGATAAGGCCAGTGGGCAGGGTTTGGAAGTTGCAGCACAGTACTATGACTAACAATTGAAAAATACTTCCTGCACAGCTGAAACTCTCGGCAAGTTATCCTCAAATGACAGTGTGAACAAGTCGCTGAGCTCAGGGATGCAGGAGATGCAGAAACAGGTGTCTGAGCTGGAGGATCGGGTCAAGGCAGCAGAGAAATTGAAGGTCTTCTATGAACTGCGGCTTCAGGATAACACCAGGAATCTTAACTCCATGATTGAGGATATCCAACGCATCATTAAAAAGGTGAAGGACATTGAGCTGTTGGCCAGCTCTCTGCCTACCCCTGGATTTCCCCCAAATCTCCTCATGTTGTGCATCCCCCTTTTGTCCAACCTTTTCATTTGTCCCCGTTGCTTGTTACACCACAATGAGTGATCATCCAGCTGGTCTGTGCCAGAGGGGCTGGTTCTTTCATTGACTGCACAGTCAGCAGCACTGTGTCTGCCCGTGGGGCCTGCTGATAGGGCTTGTGTCTCGAATGATGGTTGGTGGGAGGAATAATGAAGTCGATGGGTGCGGGTGTCACAGGTGTGGACTTGGGGAGAGATCACTAGAGTGTTTGGATTAATGGGCTATTTTAGAGATGTTGGGAGGGCCTGTGGGCAGATGGACACATACGCGAGAAGTGTGTCATCGGGAGGTGGGGGTGGGGGGGGTTGCGGTGGTGTGGTCTCTGGGTAGTATATTTTGGAGAGAGGTTGTTGGGGTAGGTGGGTAAGACCAGTGGGAGAAGGTTGGTGGGCATTTTGGTGTGGATTATTTTGGGGATGGGTTATTGGGGAGTCCGGGATGTATATCTGACTGAGGTGGTGTTAGTAAAATCTGATGGGTGGTGGATTATCGTGATGGTGAGTATTTGTTGAGTAAATCTGAAGATTTTATTTTTAATTTCTCAGAACAATGCAGTGACGGAGAAGAAGGAGAAGTGAGGAGAAGGCCTCATCCCCAGAGATTGAGAGCGTGGAATCCCTGATAGTATACAGTGAGCTAGCATCAGATTCGTATATTGTGACCTGCTTGAACCCTTGCTTTCCTAATCTTATTAAAGGCCTAACTCTCATACAAGTGACTCCAAACTGCAAGTTTGCTGAACTGTGCCGTGTGTTTTAATTTTTACATCGGTCCTGTGCATCATATTCAGGATGTACAATTGGGGAACAGAGATCGATGTGTATATTTGTGTGTAAACATCCATGTTGTAGTAGCGTCCTGACCGGGACACCTCTCTCTCTCTCTCTCTTTCCCTCTCTCTCTCTTTTTCTCTCTCTACCCCCAACCCCAATTTCCACAATTGGAGCTGGGGCGGGGGAGATGGTAACAGCATGGTCTGGGCCTTGCCCAGTCAAAGTGAATCTGTTGAGGTTTCCTTTCTTTGTCTTACACGTGGCAGGGCCATCAGAGAGAACATCATTGCCTGAACTTTTCCTGGGTGCAGGTGACTGATTGTTGGACCCGGCCACTTCGGAAGTTAAAGCAAACAATTTCAACCCCTTTCTATTTCTCCCTTTAGACTGAGGCTTGTGGGCATCTGTTTCCCTCCACAATTGCCTTCCTTTAGTTCCTTGTTGCCCCTTCCTCTATCGGGATGTCACAGTATTTACAATATAAAGATTCTTCACTGTTTTTAAATTGTTTGGTGTGTGTTGTGTCTGTTTATTCCAGGGTTTGTTATTGACTAAAAATGAGAGGCAGCCTGGGGTTGCTTGACCACATTGCTGTCAATTGCACCAGAGCACAGAGCATTGGTAACATGGGTGCCCACAGCAGCTTCCACTCATAGCAAAGGGAGACTCACTTTGTGTTCACACAAGCATCACCTCGCTCCCTGTGGCAATGTCTGTACGTTCGGGGCTGCGAGTGGAACAGTTGCTTCATGAGGGACATAAATCCCAGCTCTCTGCAAACCTGGGAGCTGTGGATTGGTGAATGGGTGGTGATTGCAGTCACCACTGTAGTTAATATGATCTTTGGTGAAGCAGTGTTCACCGAACATTTCAAATGGTCCAGAAACCCACAGCCAGAGCCCTGAAATTTAACTGAACTCGGGATTCAGAGCCAACACTGATCCCTGCCATCAGCTCAGTCAGGGCCCTTAAGTCAGTATGGTTGTATTGTGTGATATGTGCAAGACTTCTTTCACAGCGCCATCAGATTGCTGTCAGTGGGAGCTTGCTTTGCACAAGTAAGCTGCTATATTTCTGACATGACAACAGTGATTCTGCTTCAAGAGTGCTTCATTGGTTGTGCAGTGCGGTGGACCATTGAGAGACAGTGAAATAGTCCACACGTGCAGGTTAATTGTTCCTGTGGAGGAAATGGGCTTCACCACCTCTATGCTGTCACCATTGTGGACCGGACTTTTCTTTGTTATTCCATCATAATTCCAAGATTTCAACCCAGTGCTGTGTGGGAGCATCTTTAGCAGATGGGGCTGTTGTGGTTCAAGAATGGAAATGAGAGTTTGACAAGGACAGTTAGAAATGGGCAGTAAGTAATGGCCTTGCCAGTGAACCCCTCAAACCATCAATGGCTTCCAGTGAAGCTGAATTATGTGGGATGTTGTATTTTGTGTATTCAAATAATTAAACATTGAATCACCCTCCTCCTCTGTAGTCGCTGTGTAAATGCTGCCTCTCAGAAAATGAGACAAGATGTAAGTCCTGACGTTAGTGAGATGGTGATTACACAAGGTGGGTCAGTCAATAGACAGTTCAGCAGTGAGTTTAGTTTATGCAGCAGCTGGCATTGGGATTAAAATGAATGCATTCACCCATTACAAATTTGGGCATTGCTGTTGACAGGTTGAGGTGTTCCTTCTGGATATTGTATTGTACCTTATCCAGAATCTTTGCTGTACCTCAGACTCCAAGCTGATGAGATTCTATACTCTGACTTCAGGTCTAGGCTAGCCCACACAAATATAAAACTCTGTCAGTATATTGAGCTTGGGTGGATCATTGACATTGCACTCTCACTCTCAGGAATTGTCCCTTTGTTTCCAGCTGTGGATTTGCTCAGCTTCCCTTATGTAATGTCTTTGTCACCACAGAATGCAGATAAAAAGCTGCTTGGGGTCGTCATAAGCAATTGAGGACATGAAAGGCTCTATATCAATGTAGCTGCTTCAGTCATTTAGGGGAGAAGAAGATCTTTGTGGAAAATGTGTTTGCAGAACTGTAATTTGAAACATAGTCTCCTCGGAGTGAAAACTGTTTGCACAAGTCCCATTCCAGAGCCTTGGGTCTCTAAGCCAGGCCGACACATGTCAGGGAGTGCTGCATTGTCGGGAGTGCTGTCATTCAGTTTCCTTTTATCCTCTAACGTGGATGCAAAGGACCACATTGCACAAATTATGTTCTGCTGGTAGTTTCCCCTCAATCAACATTGCAAAAAGAGATGCTGATATAACGATCACACTGCTATTTATGGATCTTCCTATGCACCAAACAGATGCCAGGTTTCTTCAATATTGAATACAATTCTAATACTGTGTGATTGGCTTTAATGTGCTTTGGGGCATCCTGAGATATTTCGAGGTAACAAAGGGTCTTCCGTTCACACAACGCTGCTTACTGTCAATCACACAAACTAATACAAATATATGCTATACAGAAACAGGCCCTTCAGCCCAAAAAAATACATGCTGATGTTGACACTGCACTCGTTGCATCTTCATTCTTTTGTCATCTAAACCTAATATCCTACCCTTCCTATTCCCTTCCCCATCAGAAGCTTGTCTCGATTCCCTGTACATATACTTATACCATTCTCTGTGGAAAGAAGCATCTTGAATTTCTTGCTGCCTGACTCAGCCATATACACAGCAGCATGATATTGTTCTGAGGAAGAGTCACCGGACCCGAAACGATAACTCTGTTTTCTCTTTCACAGATGCTGCCAGAGCAGCTGTGCTTTTCCAGCAACTTTGTTTTTGTTCCTGTGTTTGAGCATGATATTGTGGTGTTTTGCGATGAGATGCCATCCTGGCCAAGCAGTGTCGAATTTCAGGGAGATTGAGAGGCAATGACAGCTCTTGTTAAAGCACTCCACACACACACACACACACACAGTGAAACTTTATGGACTATGGTTCAAGTGGCTGTGATTCAGATCTCACTACACGGAGCTTGACTGACACTTGAGGGAATCTGTGCTGTCTGGCGTGTTAAAACTGAGGCACCATCTACCCAATTGGAGATAGGTGTAAAATATCACATTGCCACTGATCCTTGGAGAGGGTGAATTCATCTCACGATATACATCCAAACAGGCCATCTGACCATTTATTTAACGGCTATTTGAGGGAGCTTGATATGTGTAGTTTGGCTGTTGTGTTTCCTACATTACAACAGTCTTCATAGATACCCCACTGGCTGTAGGGTCTGTTGACATATCCTAGTTTGTGAAAGGTGTTACAGAAGTATAATTCTCTACACTTTTATAGCTGAGCCACAAGATAAGCCTGACTCTGAGAAAAGGTAATCCTGATATCAGATTGAACTGTGAACTAACAATGGGGCGATGGTGGTTACAATGATGGTAATGAACAATTTTTGTTTACTTAGCAAGTTCAAGGAAATAAAAAAAATGTTTCACAACGTTAAGCAAAACATCACACCAAACTATATAAGGAGCTATTAGAGCAGATGGCCTGAAGCTTGATTAACGAGGGCAGTCAGAAGGAACATCTTAAAGGAGGAAAGGGGTAGACAGAGTGGGGTAGTGTCTGGAATTCTTGGATGGCTGAAAGCATGCAGTGTTGCAAACCAGGAACTTGTAAGGTCCAAATTTCAGGAACGCGGATCCCTCTTAATAGGAGGTGGATGTGTAGTGGGTTTGGAGGAAGAAACAGCAGAAGGAAGGGGAGGCAATGGAGGAACCTGAAAACAAAAATGATGAACATTTCACAACTGAGGTAGACGTTGCTGAAAAGGATTTGGTGGTGATCAGATAGCCCAGGATGATGGGTGAACAATCCTTTGGTGTCACTGACGACGCAGGAAGCAGATTTGGGTGAGACGGTTTGTTGAGAGTAGAAGGTGTGAGCCTGCTCATAGCAAGTTGGAATAGTCACCGTAATTCTGGACGTTAGAGAACATTAGGAACCCCATTCAGTCCCTAATGTCCAATCGGTTTGTCTTCCCAAAGTATTAGTGACAGCTTGCTGATTCTGATGGTATTGATCCTGCTGATAATGAGGATACCAATATTGGATATGAATATCAGTATGGACAGATGGTATCGCAGTGAACACTGATCTAGATTCTGGTGATGTGGATGACCCTGACACTGAGGACACTGAATTTGAGGACACTGATGCTATTGTGTTTGAGATGGAGAAGCTCCTCCAAGTCCTTTCCAATTTAAGACAGTGAATTTTGAGCTGTAGGGCTGCTGATTGCTAGGCCAGGTTAATCACAGCATTGTCATACAACCTCTGCTGCCACAGCAGAAGGAAGAGTTGGGGCAGAGCTATCACATGACAGAAAGTGAAACGTGTCTGCGGGTGGTCACCTCTGCTCATAAAATATTGCATATGACAAATGCAATAACTTTATCAACGACACCCTGTCTGTGAATCATTATCTCGGTGCTACTGGAAGAATATTGCCACATCAAATGGTCAAGTCCCACAGACCCCTCCTCCCCTGCCTCCCCGCAAAACCAGCATTTAGCAAGAAAAATGCTATGGTGTCTGCCAATACAGAATTTTTTGTAAAAAGAGTAGAACAGACTGGAAATACACTGCAGCTATGAAGAAAGCAACAAACTTGATGTGTCGTCAGAGCTTTAGGTAAGCATTAATCTGATATGGGAACAGGTTTTCCCTCCCTCTCCCTCTCTCTCTCTCCGCTGTGTTATCTGAACTGTTCGGAGTAACCAGCTTTCTGTTTTACAGGTTGTGTGTTTTGGACTCTTCTGTAATGGTCTTTTAAATATCCAGGCTGCTTGTTCTTGACTGTCGTTTAAGGTAGTGTGTTTAGCTGAAACATCTGATGAATATATTTCATCTTAATCTTTATCACTGCTGGATATTTACAGAAATAAGGGCTGCAGTTTCTATGTTCACAAACTTAAAAAAAAAACCCCAACACCTGACTAAACATCCTGTCAGCAATCTGCCTTTGTACAGGGCGGAACCACAAATTGCCTGTGTCCTGTGTTTCTGAATTGCACCACATTAAACGAGTTGATTGGTTACAATAACCAATCTCCTGTTAACGGCAAAATGACAGATTCTCAGGCTGGTTCAAGGCATTGCCTCAAAGCAAGAGTGTTGATTGTAACAGTGCAGAAATTCAATTCCGACTCAAACCTCTCAAAAAGGGTTGGAGCTTCAAGGGACACTAAGGAACTTCACAAGGTGCTATTCAAACTGGGCTTCCAGGTGACGTTTAAGATCGATTACACAGCAGCGGAGATCCTGCAGGAGTACAAACAAGGTCAGTGAACAGAAGAAATGGTTAAACTGATTAAGATGTCGGAGTGTGTGGGACAGTGGGATTAGACTGGTACATTAATGGGTGCAGGGAGTGAGACGGAGAGTGGGATTAGGCTAGATGGGACATGAAAAGGAGTGAGACGGAGAGCGGGTGGGACATTAAAGGCTAAACGGAGTGAGTGGGGAGAGTGGGCTTTTAGAGGATGCGGCGAGAGCATCTTGTTTGGGATCATGCCTCAATGATGAGTTTTCTCTCTCTTCAGAAAGCTTACGCGATCATGGATCCTGCTTTATCTCAATAATCTCCAGCCATGGTGAAGAAGGAAGAATTTATGGATCAGACGGTTGTCCTGTAAAGCTCCAAGATATTTATTCCATGTTTACACCACAGAGCTGTCCCTCGCTAGCTGGAAAACCAAAGATCTTCTTCATCCAGGTACAGGTATTAATGTGTAACAGAGTCAAACACCTGCCATGTCCTCCTCTTTCTGTCACTCTATTCCTGCGCCCGTTCCGCGCTGTATCCCATCTCCGTGCAAGGTCCCAATTCGGAGCGTGTTTTACAGCCACATAATAGAAAAAACAAGTTGGGATGGAAATAGAGCCCTATAAGAAGCAGACTCAATTAAAATTTCAGGTAGCAATGGTAAAAATAGTAGAAATATTAATAACTGAAGGATTTGTCAGTGAGATGGAACAGGTGGACATGACACTGGGAATGAAATGCTTCCTTTAAAAGACAATGAGAACTTATATTAAAAGGACCAGTCAAATAGAAGGCAAAGAATTTCTCATTTGGAGTGATAGGACCTGTGCAGTTTTTGAAAAAGTTCAAGGAAGAGATCACTGAGAGATGACAGACGTTGTGGTAGTGGCAAAGGTGAACTATCATTATTTAACTTACAACATCTGGCTTCAACACTAGAGACTTATGTGGACTTTGTAGAAAAGGACAAACTGACCTGAAATGGTGGTGCTGTGAGAGTTAATGTTTCGGGTCCAATGACCTCAGGACAGTTCTGAGGAAGGGTCACCGGACCCGAAATGTTAACTATTGATTTTTTTCTTCACAGATGCTGCCAGACTTCCAGCAACTTCTGTTTTTGTTTCTGAATTTACAACATCTGCAGTTCTTTTGGTTTTTACTTAGTAAACAGGGATCAGTCTGACCTGAAATTAATTTGGTGATAAAAGACACAAACTCAAATTCATATCTCCTGGTAAATTGCCACCTTTCTGAAAGTTTCATTCAGAATGAAAGACGTGCAGATCATCCAGCCAAAGTAAACAAAAAGTGAAATCAGACGAGGGAATACTCAAAGGAACTGGATTTCTGATAACAGCTTTTGAGCAGCAAAGCAGAATGCAGAAGAAGTTGTGAATTGATAACAACAGGAAGCTGGATGCCTCTTGCTCCCTGTCTCTGTCAACTTTGAGGACAGTGCCCAGTGAAAAACTAACTTGGGACAACAAAGATTTACAGAGAAGCCAAGGGTATCTGCAAAGTTCACTGCTGCTGAAGAAATGACAGCTAAATAGTCAGGACTTTGGGTCACCCTCACAACTCAAAGGCTGTAAGATCTTTAAGTTTGTTTTATGCTGTGTGTGTGTTTTATGTTGTGGTTGAATTATTTTATCCAGGTTGGAAGTAATAAAATTCTTCTTCCTTTCAAGAGAACTTTGGAATTTGGATGTGGAGGTTTTGGAGAGGGTGCAGAAGAGGTTTACCAGGACGCTGCCTGGATTAGAGGCTATGAACTATAAGGAGAGGCTAGAAAAACTCCAGTTGTTTTCTCTGGAGTGGCAGTGGCTGAGGGAAGACTTGATAGAAGTTTGTAAAATTACGAGATGCAGAGATCGGGTTGACGGTCAGCATCTTTCCCCCGGAGTTGAAATACCTAATACTAGGGGCATGCATTTTAAGGTGAGAGGGGGAATGTTCAAAGGAGGTGTAAGAGACAGATTTTTCACACAGAGAGTGGTAGGAGTCTGGAACACACTCCCAGGGGTGGTGGCGGAGGCAGATACGGGAGGGGCTTTTATATAAGCACTTGAATAAGCAAGGATTGGAGGAAAATGGACCAAGGGTAGGCAGAAGGAATTAGATTAATTTGGCATCATGCTCTACATAACATGGAAGGCCCTGTTCCTGTGCTGTACAGTTCTATGTTCTAATTTATTTTGATCTTATTAATGACATAGCGATAGATGTTGAGCAAGAAATCCAACAGGGAATTCAGGAGAAATGTCTTCACCCGGGAGATATGAGAATATGGAACTCAGTACTATGTGGAATGGATTAGGTGGATAGGTTAGACTCATTTGAAGGAAATTTAATACACGAGGTTGAAGGGACTAGAAGGATGGGGATGGGGTGGTGAAACAAGGTGGGGCGAGGCTGACATGGATCTTTTGGAACATGGAACAGTTTATGTTCTGTAAACGATAAGGAGTTTTGAATTCCACGTGCCTGATTTATCCTGTAACCCAAAGTCCATTATTAGCCTCGTGCCTTCTGGTACAGCTCTAATCTGTGTCTCTGTCTCAGGCCTGCAGAGGGCAGCAGCCCGATGAGGGTGTCTATCTGCAAACTGATGGAGTAACTGAAACAGACAGTGGCTGCTCCACACAGAATGCCTACTCACATTATGAAGCAGTGCCTGAAGACACCGTGGTCCATTTCTCCACCTGCTCTGGTAGGTATCACTGAGCAGAGTCCACGTATTCAACAAAAACTGCGGTGGGGGCAAGAGGAACAGTGGACAAGGAGAGAGGGGGAGAGAGGGTGCAAAAGGGGAAGGGGAGGAAGAGATAGGGAAACTTGGACAGAAAGTAAAGCAAATCAATGATTTGGTCTCAGGTGCACTCTCATACCTAGTCTCAATCTGTCCAACATTCAGCCTTTATTCAAATGCACACACACACACACGCACACATTTGCATTCTCTCACATACTTGCTGGGCTGTCTCTGGTTAGTACTTCTGGTCCTTTCGATCAGTAGCTTGATCACATGGAGATGATGGGCAGCACTTGGGTTTTTGAATCCGTGCCAGGTGGAGTCCCTGATCACAAACTGTGTTTGGCAACTAGCAGCTAACAGCAATTTCCCACCGGAGGCCATACTACTTTCCAGGTGAGGAAGGCAATGGGGCGGGGAGAAGTGAGAGAGGTTTGGAAGTACTCTCATATGGAAGGCATTGCAGCCTGTCATATTGGAGGGGCAAACAGAGAGAGAAAGAGAGAGAGGGGGGTGGAGAGATGCCAGGTACCTCACATCGTAAAACTGCCTGACAGCATCTTTTGAAACATTTCAGTTCTAAGCAATCGTCACAGTCACAGGGTCACCATTACAAAGGTGAATCCCACCACAGACGTGCCTGAAGCCATAGCTACAGAACCAAAGCTGGAGTTTGCCCAGGGCCCCTGTACTATTCCTGACACAGATCCTAGACCAACTGGAGAACTACAGGTCTTTGATCTGAATTGGCCTTGAACTTCGTCTAATGTGGCTACTAGCCACTGATGGGAAGCTGATGCTGTCTCTCTCTCTCTCTCTGCTCATGCCTTTGGGAATTTAATCGAGGATGAGGTGATGACAATAAACTAACGTGTTGGCGAACAGCAAAAACGTGAACATTCCTTCACCCCAAGATCACAAACCAGACTAAGACAACGTCTTTGTGATTACAGACCATGCTGCCTTCCTCAGGCCTGGAGATGGCTCCATCTTCCTCCAGAGTCTATGTAAGGTGCTGATGGGGGAGCAGAGACACTGGGAGCTGCTGCGGATCATGACTCTGGTTAATGGGCTGGTTGCCTGGACCTTCGAGTCCAGAGGACCGCGTTTCAAGGGCAAGAAGCAGATGCCTTGCTTCGTCAGCAGGATGCGACACGAGATCTTTCCATTTTCTGACAGATTGACTCCAGCTCTCTCCACAGCCTGCATAACTACTGTCTCCAATCAATGACCACTGACTGCTTCGGTGTTTCATGCAAAAACAACTTGCATTAACATTGCATTGTTAACCAATTAAAACGTCTCAAAGCATTTGACGGAAATACTATCAAATAAAAAAAATGACACAGCCATTAAAGGATGATGTTGGACGAGTTGCTTTAAAAACTTTACTGAAAAGTTTAGGGTCAGGACACTGCTTCCTTAGTGCCAAAATTCTGAAGAGCAGTACTCCCTCAGTACTGACTCTCTGATATTGAATCGCACAGCTCAGGAACGGGCCCTTTGGCCCATGATGTTGTCCTGAACATGATGTGAAATGAAACTAATCCCTTCTGCCTGCCCTTGGTTCATATCCCTCCATTCCTTACATATTTACATGCTCATCTAAAAATCCCTTAAACACCCCTATTGTATCCACCTTCCCCATCACCCCTGGCAGAGTGTTCCAGACTCCTACCACTCTCTGTGTAAAAAGACCTGCTTCTCGCATCTCCTTTGAACATTCCCCCTCTCGCCTTAAATGCATGCCCCCTAATTTTAGACATTTCAACTCTGAGGAAAAAGATTCTGATTGTCAACCCTATCTCTGCATCTCATAAATTTTATTGACTTCTTTCAAGTCTTCCCTCAGCCTTCACTGCTCCAGAGAAAACAACATGAATTTATCCCCCTTTTCATGGGGCACTGGTGTCAGTATTGGAGCAGGAGGGATCTGTACCGCTTGGATAATGTTCTAATGAAAAGGGTAAATAGGGTCGTCAACAAGACTTTAAACTGGGAAGGGAAGGGTAAGACTCTAAGAAGTATAATGGCCAATGGGAAACAAAGCAGCAGGTTAACATCTGTAGAGGTGCATTCTACTGCACAGAAAAATATGCAAAAAAGTGAAAACAAAGGAGAACTTGGGACTGGTTATTAAAATCTCCAGCACATAAAATAGGACAAAGTGTTTGGAAAGGTTAGGAATCAAACTTCAAGCACACTGGATAAAGGGATGACAATGAGAAGAGGGACGGTGAATACAGGACTGGAGGTGTTGAATCTGAATGCACGCAGTATACGAAATAAGGTCATTGAGCTTGTGGCACAGATCAAAATTGGCAGGTATGTGGTGGGCACCATGGAGATGTGCTGCAAGGGGATCAGGACTGGCAGCTAAATATCCCCAATGATCCTACCGAAAAGACAGACAGGTGGGCAGAGGGGATGGGGCTGCCTTATTAGTAAGAAATGAAATTAAATGAATAGCAATAAATGACGTAGGTCAAAAGATGTAGAATCTGTGTGGGTGAAATTGAGGAAATGCAAAGGTAAAAAAAAACAGTTGGAGTTATGTACAGGCCTCCAAACAGTAGTCAGGAGCTGGGGCACAAGATACAACAGGAGATAGATAAGGTGTGTATTAAAGGCAAGGCTACAGTGATCATGGGGGATTTCAATATGTGGGTGGACTGGGAAAATCAGGTTGGTAGTGAATTGCAAGAAAAGGAGTTTGTGGAATGTCTACAAAATGGCTTTTTGGAGCAGCTTGTGGTGGAGCCCACTAGGGAACAGGCAATACTGGATTTAGTGTTGTGCAATGAAGCAGACTTGATAAGGGAGCTTAAGGTAAAGGAACCCTTAGGAGGCAGGGATCATAATAGGATAGAATTTACTCTGCAATTTGAGAGGGAGAAGCTGGAATCTGAGGTAACAGTATTACAGCTGAATAAAGGCAACTACAAAGGCATGAAGGAGGAGCCTAGCAGGAAAGACAATGGAACAGCAATGGCAGGAGTTTCTGGGAGTAATTTGGGAGACACAGCAAAAATTCATTCCTAGGAAAAAGAAGCATGGTACAGAGACGATGAGGTTAGGGCTGACAAGGGGAGTCAGGGAGAGCATAAAAGCAAAAGAGAAAGCATATAATGTGGTGAGGGGCAGTGAGAAACCTACAAAGGACAACAGGGAAAGAAATAAGGAGGGAGAAGACTAAATATGATGGTAAGCTAGCTGGTAAAATAGATGAAGAATGCAAGAGTTTCTTTAGATATATAAAGAGCCAAAGAGAGGCAAAAGTGGACATTGGGCTGCTGGAAAATGATACTGCAGAAGTAGTAATGGGGAGCAAAGAAATGGCAGAGAAACCGAACAAGTACTTTGTGTCAGTCTTCATGGTGGAAGACATGAGTTACATTCCAAAAATTCATGAGAGTCAGTTGGCAGAAGTAAGTATGGTGGTTACTACCAAGGAGAAGGTGCTGGAAGAACTGAATGGTCTGAAGGTGGATAAATCACTAGGATCAGATGGACTACATCCCAGGGTTCTGGAGGAGATAGCTGAAGAAATAGTGGAGGTGTTAGTGGTGATCTTCCAGGAATTCAGGGAAGATCCCAGAGGGCTGGAAAATCGTTAATGTAAACACCCTCTTTAAAAAGGGAGTAAGGCAAAAGATGGGAAATTACAGGCCAATTAGCCTGACCTTGGTTGTGGGTAAGATTTGAGTCCATTGTGAGGGATGAAATTTCTGAATACTTGAACTGCATGGTAAAATAGGGCAAAGTCAGTGTGGTTTCATCAAGGGGAGGTCATGCCTGACAAATCTGCTAGAATTCTTTGAGGAAATAATGAGCAGGTTAGACAAAGGAGAGCCAGTGGATGTTATCTACCCGGACTTCAAGAAGGCCTTTGACAAGGTGCCGCATAGGAGGCTGCTGAGTAAGATAAGGGCCCATGGTGTTAGAGGTAAGGTGCTAGTATGGATAGAAGATTGGCTGTCTGGCAGAAAGCAGAGAGTGGGGATAAAAGGGTCTTTCTCAGGATGGCAGCCGGTGACAAGTGGTGTTCCACAAGGGTCAGTGGTGGGACCACAACCACTTTATACATTCATGATCTAGATGAAGGAACTGAGGGCGTTCTGGCTAAGTTTGCAGATGACGCAAAGATAGATAGAGGGACAGGTAGTATTGAGGATACAGGGAGGCTGCAGAAGGATTTGGACAGGTTAAGAGAGTGGGCAAAGAAGTGGCAGCTGGAGTACAACATGGGAAAGTGTGAGCTCATGCACTTTGGTAAGAAGAATAGAAGCATGGACTATTTTCTAAATGGGGAGAAATTTCTGAAATCTGAACTGCAAAGAGACTTGGGGGTCCAGGATTCCCGCAAGATAAACTTGCAGGTTGAGTCAGTAGTTAGGAAGGCAAATGCGACTTTGGCGTTTATTTTGAGAGGGATGTATTTCTGAGGCTCTATAAGGCTCTGGTCAGGCCACATTTGGAGTATTTTGTGCAATTTTGAGTCCCATATCTCAGGAAGGATGTACTGGCCCTGGAGTAGGTTTAGAGGAGGTTCATGAGAATGGTCCCAGGAATGGAAAGCTTAACATATGAGGAACGTTTGAGGACTCTGAGTTTATACTTGATGGAGTTTAGAAGGATGAAACTTACAGAATACTGAATGGCCTGGACAGAGTGGATGTTGAGGAGAGACTAGGACCCGAGGGCATAGCCTTTAGAACGGAGATAAGGAGAAACTTCTTCAGCCAGAGAGTGGTGGATCTATGGAATTCACTGCCACAGAAGGCTGTGGAGGCCAGGTCATTGAGTACATTTAAGACAAAGATAGATAGGTTCTTGATTGTCAGGGTTATGGGGCAAAAGTGGGAGAATGGGGTCAAGAAACGTATCAGCCATGATTGAATGGTGGAACAGACCCGATGGGCTAAATGCCCTAACTTCTGACTGTGATGTCTTATGACCTTGTTACCACACAAACAGGAAAATCCCAGGGAATACTTTCTGTAAGACCTCAGTTCCTGATTTTTCCATTGGCTTTTCAACTGCAGTAGGCATCACTCCCACCTGTGATGTAGCTGTATCATTAAGAAGGATAAACTGTATTCCTGGAACTGAGAATTTCTCCATTATTCCTACCACCACTATTCATCAGACTCTCCAACATCACTTTATATAATGGAACACTGTACTTCTCACCATGAATTCACATATTACTACCTTTTCTGGCAGTGCTCCCTCTGAATTACATAACTCCTCATCTCTCACCATCAAAAATTGAATTGCTCCCATATCTCTCAACATTTTCATTTGTTTATCTGCTCCTCCTGGCATGCATAAGTAAACCTTATCCATGCAAGTAAATTCTTCAGAGAGATCTGGCACTTTCTTCTCAAACAACCCCTGACCTTTTTTTAAATTCATTCACAGTATATGAGCTTTGCTGGCTAGGCAGCGTTTATTGCCCATCCCTAATTGCCCAGAGGGCACTTAAGAGTCACCCACATTGCTGTGGGTCTGCAGTCACATGTAGGCCAGACCAGGTAAGGATGGCAGTTTCCTTGCCTAAAGGACATTAGTGAACCAGATGGGTTTTTCCGACAATCAGCAATGGATTCGTGGTCATCATTAGACTATTAATTCCAGATTTCTTTGATCAAGTTGTATAATCTTTTGCAGTTTTTTATCTTCCACTGTCCTTTCAACAAAACTTACTGGCTTATCCTGTTTACCCACATCCATCTTCCCAGGGCTTTTTCTAAACCACCAACACTGCAACTTCATGTGGCCTACTTTTATTGCATGGCAAACAACTGAGCTTTTTTACTTCTCTTCCCCCCCCCCCC